GAGCTGTTATCGGCTTCAGTATATAAGGTGCACTGTTGTTGGCTGCTTGCTGGCACAGTGTTTCCAAGTAGTTAATAAAATATTATAATAATATAATATCTTTATTTGCTACAAGTGCATGTACAAGGTATACACCTACATGTACAAGGTATACACGTACATGTACAAGGTATACACCTACATGTACAAGGTATACACCTACATGTACAAGGTATACACCTACATGTACAAGGTATACAGACCATAGCTGATATCAATGACATACAGTGAACCCTCAACCAATGGCATTAATCCGTTCCAGAGGGCTTGGCGTTGGTCGAAATTGCCGTTGGTCGAGTTCATTTTTCCCCTAAGAAATAATGGAAATTGAATTAATCCATTCCTGACACCCCAAAGTCTGAAAAAAAAAATTACATGAAATATACATTTTCTTATATGGAAAGGAATGGGACATGCAAAATAAACAATAATTAAATGCCACTTACCTTAATTGTGGAGTTATTGGTGAGTGATGTGCCAGCAGCAGGGGAAATTCAGAATTGTCTATTGCTTGGAAAGAGAATCCTCTTCCAGAAGGACTTCAGGTACCAAGTCCTTTGGTGGGGTTACCTCCCTTCTTGGTTTTTTAATGCCACTAGGACCAGCTTGAGAGTCACTGGACCCCTGTAGCACAAAATAGCTTTCCAGAGAGTTCTGTTTCTCATGTGCCCTTAGGATTTCCCTAAACTGGGACACAAGAGTGTCATTGTATATGTTGCCAATACGGCTTACAACTTCCGTGACAGGATAAAATTCTTCGATAAATGCTTGTACTTCTGTAAACATTGAACACATTTCCCTAATCCTTGATGAAGTCAACTTCCTCCATCTCTCTTCATCCTGCTCTGAAGAACATTCCTGAGATGTGATCTGTTGCTGTTGCTCCTGAAGCTCTTGCAGGTCTTCAGTGGTTAGTTCTTCCTCATCGTTCTGCACCAACTCTTCCACATCCTCGTCACAAACTTCCAACCCCAAGGACTTCCCCAGTGACACAATAGCTTCCACTACTGGCATAGCCTCCTGAGGGTTAGCCCCAAACCCTTCAACATCCCTCTGTTCTACACATTCTGGCCACAGTTTCCTCCAAGCAGAGTTCAAGGTCCTCTTAGTCACTCCCTCCCAAGCCTTACCTATAAGGTTTACACAACTGAGGATATTGAAGTGATCTTTCCAAAACTCTCTTAGGGTCAATTGAGTGTCTGAGGTCACTTCAAATCACTTTTAAAACACTGCTTTTGTGGAGAGTTTTTTGAAGTTTGAAATGACTTGCTGGTCCATGGGCTGGAGGAGAGGAGATGTATTAGGAGGCAAAAACTTCACCTTAACGAAACCAAACTCCCCTGCAATTTCCTCTTGCAAGTCGTGAGGATGAGCAGGAACATTGTCCATTACCAGGAGGCACTTGAGTGGCAATTTCTTATCCTGGAGGTATTTTGTCACAGTGGGGCCAAACACACCGTAAAACCAGTCCAAGAAAAATACTCTAGTGACCCATGCCTTACTGTTTGCCCTCCACAGCACACACAAATTACCCTTGACGATATTGTTTTTCCTGAACACTCTGGGAGTTTCAGAGTGATACACCAATAAAGGCTTCACTTTGCAATCACCACTAGCATTACTACACAACATTAATGTCAGCCTGTCTTTCATAGGCTTATGTTCTAGGAGTGCCTTTTCCTCCTGAGTAATGTAGGTTCTGTTTGGCATTTTCTTCCAAAAGAGGCCTGTTTCGTCACAATTAAACACTTGTTCAGGTTTTAGGTTTTCAGTCTCTATGTATTCCTTAAAGTCCTTCACATATTTTTCAGCTGCATTTTTGTCTGAACTGGCTGCCTCACCATGCCTTACCACACTGTGTATGCCACTACGAATCTTAAATCTCTCAAACCAGCCTTTGCTGGACTTAAATTCATCAGCAGCAGCACTATTTTGAGGCATTTTCATCATGCAACTTCCTTGTCTTTTCACAAATTATAGACTGAGAAACACTATCACCTGATAATTGTTTTTCTTTTATCCATACCAATAACAGTCTCTCTACCTCTTCAACTATTTGTGGTCTCTGTTTTGAAAACACACTTGAACCTTTTGCTACAACAGCTTCCTTGATTGCCTGTCTGTTCGCCAAGATAGTACTGATGGTTGAATGTCATTTGTTGTATTGCCTTTCCAACTCAGCCATACACACTCTACTCTCGTATTTTTCAATGATCTTCTTCATTTCCATCGTAATTCTCACCCTTTTCAACACAGGATTGGCACTAGAAGCTTTCTTGGGACCCATGGTGGCTTATTTAGTGGTTACAAGCACTAGAAATAGTGGAATAATCCAAAATATATGGGAGGCACACGTGGAAACTGACCACAACAGCTTGTAAACAACGGCACACTGACTCTTGGAGTGGCTGTACCTGCTCAGGCCGCACTCTGGGCACATCAACACATTCCGACAAACGTCATTGGTTAAGTTTTTCGCCGTTGCTTAAGGCATTTTTCTATGGCAAAAAGCGCCGTTAGACGAAATTGCCGTTTCTTAATGCCGCCGTTAGTTGAGAGTCGACTGTGCTACTATATAGAAAGTCATTTGTTAGGCTGAGCATTTCCCGCAAATTCGGTCAGTTTTGTCCCAGGATGCGACCCACACCAGTCCACTAACACCCAGGTAAACCCTTTTAAATGAAGGGGAACTAACAACCCTGTAAAGAAAAACTCCAAAGTTCCACCCTCACCGGGAACGAAACCGGACCTCACCGGTGAAGCGAATTCAGCCACAAGGCACGGGATTGAACGTAAATAACAAAACGGGTTGAAAGGGAAAAGTTGTAAAAAACTGCTAAAACGTAAATCAAAGCCTACCCCTTGACACGGGGTTTTGGCATATAAGGGCTCGGCGATTTTCCAAGACTTTTTTTCTTTTGGGAGGGGTGGGGGGGAAAAAAAACATGAATTTTTATGTCCGTCTCGACCCACGAATTCAAATAAAACTCCGTTCTTTTAACTACTTAAAAAACCACAGCAGATGGGACTTTCAAAATTTTTTGACCTGCCCCGTACTGAACCCCCGTTTCTTTTGGTTGGAACCCAAAACTCCACACAGTACTAACTAAAACACACTAAACAATACATATATTTTTTTTACAGACAAGGTAGAACATACAACACGTGAACACATGTTCCAACAAACACTGACACACACACTAACATATTTAACATGATAAAAATAGTGTAAAATGTGTTGAGTTACAGTATTCTGGTATGTTTGTCATACAGTGTTGCAGCTGTATGTTTGTCATACAGTGCTGTAGCTGTATGTTTGTCATA